TCCCCAAAACCCCAAAACCCCAAAACCCCAAAAATTATAGGATTTATTGATAAGTTTATAGAATAATGGAAACCATTGGTAATAAGAACAACGAAGAATATAAAGAAACTAAAACAATTACTGAAGATGAGTGCCTATTAGTCTTACCCGAAAGCAAGGAGATTCTCGAGAGTCTTGAGACCCAGTACCATGCTATTGAATTCAGAGTTGACCTATTCCTCGATAAATTATGTCGAAAATGGACTCAAAAGGACTATATCCCTAATACATTGGTAAGATCATACATTGGACAAGACATCCCATCCTCACAGGTTGAATCTGAAGAGATCCTTTCAGAGAATTTGGAGTTTTATAAAGACTGAATCTCCAGAGCTATTGGAGTCATGAAAACCCTTGTTGATACTCCCATAATTTATACAGTCAGGACTGTCCAGGATGGAGGAAAAATAGACACTCATCAGGGGTTCCAGCTCTATAATGAGCTTACTAAGTATGGTGCTGAGCAAATGGCCTGAGATTTCATTGATATTGAGTTCCAATTTCGGGAAAATATGCAAGGGATAACCAATATTTTGAAGAGCTGTACTGATTCCTTAGTAATAATGAGCAAGCACTATACTTCACATAATGAAAAGAGAAAATTTGAAGAGCATCATGTCACAGGACAGGTCTCTCAAGTTGTGAAATATCCTAAAGAATCCATCACAGAATACAACCAACTTGCTTTCTCTCTAAAAGTGTATGAAAAGTCATTTGATATTATTAAAATTGTGTCAAGCTTTTCAAATTTAGGTAAGATTTATCAGCTACTTGGACCTTAAACATTTAAATCATAGATGACTTTAACACTGTGAGCTGAATATTTAAGGACTTAAAGTTCTCCCAGCCGAAGATCCAGATCAATCTAGGTGAAAAGATGAAAGTCACTAGAGTACTGAATAAATATCTACTCCCAGTCTCTTGCTTAGAGATATCAAAATCTTCAACAGCACCAGGGCAGATGAGTCTTAAAGAGGTGATTGAAGCCCGTGATAGTCTATGCCTGAATGATTCTGAACGGTATTATTACCTGTTCGGATCTCCTGTTACATACTCGCCTTCTCCAACATTCCATAACACTGTGTTCTCATGTCTTGGGATCAAGGCTGAGTACAAAATTTTTAACACAGACTGAACAGACTCAAGCGTCTACATGATTGAGAAGGAATGCACTATGGGATGCTCCATTACTATACCTCTTAAACGGACTCTTTTCGAAAGGTACAAGGAATACGCGAGTGAAGATGCCCTCTACATCCAGTCAATAAACACAATAGTCAAACATGATGGCCATTTTAAGGTCTATAACACCGATTGGATGGCTATTTACTCTTTGATAAACCAAAAATTGCCAAATGTCACTGAAAGAACGAATAAAGCCCTGATCATTGGCATGGGCGGTACCTCTCTTGCAGCTGCTTACGCAGTGCTCAAGCTTGGCATGACTCCAATCTTATACAGCAGAAAGTCTAATATTGATAAATAACATCCAGTTTATGAAAGAATTATGGAAAAAGAATGATACTCCTCAATACTGACACGAGCTAGAACTCTTTCAGAAAGCAAACGATTTTTCAAAATTCAAATCTCTCATAGAATTTGGGGACAAAGAAGGCCTAGACCTTCTTGCTGAAGGCATGATTGAAACCTCTGAAAGCGGTGTCGATGCTATCATCAGTTGCATTCCAGGAGTTTCTGGTTTCACAATTCCTGCAGAAGTTGAAGACATCCTTCTTAGAAAAGATAGAAATGTCATTGTCTATGACAGTTCTTATATTCCTAAAGAAACTGAGCTACTAAAGCAAGCTAAAGCGAAGAACTGACAGATAGTCACAGGCCTTGAGATGTTAATCAGCCAGGCTTGGTTACAAGCAAAGTTGTTTACCGGTAAGGAGAAATTCGATGAAAAGGTTATCCAAGCTGTAGAGGAAGAGGTTTATAAATATTATGACTCTCTTTCAGTGTAATATTCAATAAATCTTGAGTATGATGGGGTTTTGGGGTTTTGGGGTTTTGGGGTTTTGGGG